CAATATTTACTATTTTCATAAAATTTATCAAAAAATTTAATTCTTGAAAAAAAATTTTTGATGCAATTCTACGAAAACATTTAATTATTTTTATAAATAATAAAATTTCATTTCGGAATTCAATTATTTTCACGGCAGAATTTTAAATATTTTTAATACAATTTTAAATAAATTCCTCGAAAATTGCAATTATTTAAAAACATTTTATTAAAACTTGACGAAAGAATTTAATTTTAAGAAACATTCAATTATTCAATAAAAAAATAAAATTCTTTTTCAAAATTCAATTATTTTTATAAGTATCAAAATTTATCACAAATAATTCAATTCTTTTGAAAAGTAATAAAATACTTTGCAGAAATTAAATTATTTTCAAAACTTTTTTAAAATTCTCGTCAAGAATTAAATTATTACCAAAAATGTTAATAAACTTTTTGTAAAAATTTCAATTATTTAAACAAAATTGAATAAAATTCCTCGCATGAATTCAATTATTTTTATAAATTATTATTTAAATTTTTTCTCAGAAATTCAAGTATTTAAAAAATTTTTTTAAAAATGCTTCAAAAAGTTTTCAATTATTTTCAAAAATTGTTATAAAGTTTCTTTAATATAATAAATTTCAGTAAAATTTCAATTCAATTCCTTAAAAGAAATTAATTATTTTCAAAAGTTGTTAATAAAATTCTTTGTAAAAATTAAATTTAAATAAACATTCAATTATTGAATTATTTATTTTTGTATTTAAATAATTGAATTCTCGTAGAATTTTTTTTAAATAAAAATTGATTTAAAAATTAATTTCGGTTAAAATTTTAGATATTAATATTTGATTTTAAAATCATTATTGCATGAATTTTTAGAAATATTCTTATTATATAGTTATTAAATTTTAAAAGATTTGAATTTAAAATTTTTGAAAATCTTAATTTTCAATGGAAAAATAATAATGATTAAATTAATTGTGATAAGTAAAACAATTGTTTTCGAAGAATTTTACAATTAAAGAAACTAGTAAATAAATGTGTAGAAACATTTGTTTGAGTATCTAAAAAATTTTATTATTTATTTATTTATTTATTTTTATTAATTTTTACTCTAATTTTATTTTTAGAGTGAATCAGAATATTCTTTAGTGTCAGGGAAAAAGTAAAAATTCTTTCTGGAAATTAGGGAAAAGGCAGGGAAAATTAAAGACAAATTTTTGTGGCCACCCTTGAAAAATAAAATTTGAATTTGTAAATTAAATAAAATCGGGAGATTTAAATATTTAGATATTTACTTTAGGGAGATATTGAAATTTATGAAAATTTGTTTAATTTCAATTTGTTTAAATTTACTTGAATTAGGTTGGAAATGACGTAATAAAGTCTATTAGAATAAATAAAGAATATAAAAGGGATTTTTTTTTCATGAGTCTAGGGGAAGAAAGTTTTACGACGTTTTCATGAATAAATTTTTTTTTTCTCCTTTAGGGCTACGTGAGATATCCACCCTCGTGATTTCTTCTCGTGTGCTCTCTGACGTAAGGGAATTCGTGCGTAACAAACATGATCAGTGAGTGTGTCTTTCATGAATACGTGTTTGTGTGTGTGTGGGTGTATATTTATTGATGTATAAAACGTGTAAGTTAGACATTCGCCAACTGTGAAATATCCACACCTGATAGCAGTACTATGATACTCGATTCTGATGCAGCGAATCATATATATAAATATAAAAGTAAAAACATTGTTTTTTCTCTCATAAGTGCCACCAGACAGTCAATTTGTTACAATGCCAGGAATTTTTTTCTTTCTCTGTCTCGGCATTCTCTCTTTAAGCCAGGTCACACACATCAGCATGTCTCGTTACGCAACAACCGTTACGGAAATGTAAAATGTTCCAGTCAGGAACCAGATAAACTCAATTTCCTGTTTTATGTAAATTTTTATCAAAGGTTACAAAAAACGTCGACTACTGCTGCAATGAAATAGTTCTCGACAATTTTTTATTTACTTCCCCTTTTTGAGAAATGAGATAAAAGTTTTTTAAGTACAGTCAGAAAATGGTTTTTTCGTTTTGCTTCAATCTCTTTTATTTAGTGTTCGAGTCAAAAATTTTAACTTTCTTTTAGTTCTCCAAAAACATATTTTTATAGCTTCTTTTAAGCCTCCTTAACACTTCTAAATTCTTTTTTCGAACCTACTCTCTAAATTTGAATTAGTAAAAATGTTTACTAATTCGAATTAGTAAATTTTACTAAAAATTTAGTAGAAATTACTATTTATTAGTAAATTTTACTGAAAATTTAGTAGAAATTACTATTTATAAAGTAAATTTTACTAAAAATTTAGTAGAAATTACTATGTATTTATTATAAAAAATGAAAAATTACGGAACAATTACTGACGAAAAAATATAACCAGTCCGAGTCAAATAAGAGAAAATTTTACATAAAACTATAAATTAAATTTTAAAACTATAAAACATGAAGAAATCGATATCTCCGAGTCTTCGACTCGGAGTGATCGATTTCTTCCTGTTTTATAATAATTAAAGATGACCGAGTGATAAAATGATTATTTTATATTATAAGAATATTGTTACTCTAACATCTTCAAAATTATTTTCATCATTTCAATTTAATTATTATTTTCAAGAATTTTCTACTAAAATTCTTCTCTAAAGAAATTATTTTTAATAACTATCGAAATAGTTCTTTGACAATTTTTAAATTCATTTGTTTACAATATTCAATTTTACGAAATTTCAATTATTCGAAAAATTCTTCTTCAACTAGTTGTATATTAGAAAACAAAGACTTCAAATAAATATAAAAAAAAATTCAATTAAACTTTTTCAAAAAAATTACTTTTAAAATTCAATTATTTCTAAAAATTCACGCTATATTGCTTTTAATATTCAATTATAATCTAAAATTTTAAGTTTAACTGAAATTAATTTTTAAATTAATTTTTATCAGAAAATTCTGAGAATTCAAATATTTAAATAAAAAAAAAAAAAAATTTACTGAATAATTAAATGTTTCTTAAAATTGAATTCTCAAAAAAAATTTTATCAATAAATTTTTAAATAATTGAATTCTTTGGACGAATTTTAATACAATTTTTCAAAAATAATTACATTTTTCGAGACATTTGATTGAAATTGTATTAAAAATAATTGAAATTCTGTGATGAGATTTATTATTTGAGAAAATAATTATTGAATTATTGCGAAGAATTTTATAAAATTTTTTTAAATAATTATATTCTTTCGATGAATTTTATTAAAATTTTTAAGAATAATTACATTTTTTGTGGAATTTGATTAAAATTATATTAAAAATAATTGAAATTCTGCGATGAGTTTTATTATTTGTGAAAATAATTGAATCTCTAAGAAGAATTTTATTATTTTTGAACATAAATAAATTTCTCCAAAGAATTTTATTACTCTTGAAAATAATTGAATTTCTTTAATAATTTGTAATTTCTCCAAAATTAAATTTTTTTTTAGCTTTTTTAATTAAAATTTTTCTATAAATCTATTATTTTTAATAATTTTTGAAAAAGTTTTATGAGATTTTTCAAATTTATTTGTTGACAATTCAATTTTACAAAATTTTAATTATTCGGTATTTCTTCAATTAAATCCTTATATATTTGAAAATAAAAACTTGAAAAAAATAATTTTAAGTAAAATTTAAATAAACTTTTTCAAAAAAATTAATTATTCTACAGAATTGTTAGTTAAAAGAATGAAAAATTAAAATTTTCAAAGATTTTAATAATGAAACCGTTTCAAAATTTAATAATTTCTAAAAATTTACGCTACGTTTTTAATATTCAATTATAATCTAAAATTTTATGTGAAATTTAGTTTTAAATCAATTTTTATTAGAAAATTATACTAGAATTCAAATATTACCTAAAGTAAAAAAAAATATATAATTTATTAAATAATTAAATGTTTCTTAAAATTGAATTCTCATAAAGAATTTTATCAACAAATTTTTAAATAATTGAATTCTTTCGACGAATTTTAATAAAAGTTTTAAAAATAATTACAATTTTCGAGGAATTCCATTAAAATTGTATTAAAAATAATTGTAATTCGGCATTGGTTTTTTTTTTATTATTTCTGAAAATAATAAAATTCCTAAAAAGAATTTTATTATTTATGAATATAATTGAATCCCTGTAAAAATTTAATTATTTATTAAAAATAATTGAATTATTTAGAAAAAATTTATAAAAAAATTTGTAAATAATCGAATTCTTGTGAAATTTTTATTATTTATGAAAAAAATTAAATGTTTACGTAGAATTTTATTGAAATTTTTTTAAATAATTGAATTCTTTTAGAAAATTTTCCTCAATTCAATGATTTTTAATATCTACTATTTTAATCAAATTTTCTAAAAGAATTCAATTATTTAAAAAAATTTCAATAATATACGACGTAAGCATTTAATTTTTTTCATAAATAATAAAAATTTCACAAGAATTCGATTCGAAAACTTTTAATGTTTTGAAAATAATTGAATTTTAGAGTAGAATTTTATTATTTTTAAAAATAATTGAAATTTTGACGAGAATTTTTTTTTAATTTTTGAACATAGAATTTCTGCTAAGAATATTATTATACTTTTGTAAATAATTGAATTTCTGCAATTATTTGTAGTTTCTCTAAAATTCTCCAAATTTAATCGTACAATTTACCAAATTTTTTTCTTTTTTGTATCAAATTACAGACTTTACGGACCTTTTTTTCGAAAATAAACTGATTTTTACGGACTTGAAGCAAATTTACGAAGCTTTACGATAAGTTTTTAAAACTAACATTTGATCCAATCGGTATTGGACTAAAATATGATAGTTCCGGACAATTGTTTTGATAATAAATAAATACTTATTTGTACAATTAAATAATTAATTAATAATCTAATGAATGTTTATTTATTGATCCAAATTTCTTGACAGTAAATATTTGATTTTCTGATTTCAGGTACGCAGCATCCAAACAGCGATTGCTCTCGGTAGTGTCGTGTCGGTTGTGCAGTGATTAAATTCCCTTATAGTTCCGGGAGTGTTTGTGACTTTTTTTTTTAATACCGCGATAAAATATTTATTAGGCAGGGTTGTTATAATTTAATTTAAATTTATTACTTGATTTAATAGATGATTTAAATCGGGATTTAAATCAAAGACATATTTTCATTTTAATCATGATTTCAATAAACTTTTTACTTAAAAAAATAGGTTTTTAGTCATCTTTAACTTAAGGGGATGTCAAAGTCGGATGTGATTTTCCCATTGAAGCTTAATGTGAAAATCCAATCGACTTTGACATCCCCTTAAGAAAGACGTTAACAAAGAATCTGAGAGAATAGGAACAAAAGATGATACTAAAGTTACCAACGTTTACGTCGACGAAATTAAATTAAAAAAACCTTAAATTTTCTTTTTTCTTTTACTTTTAACTTTTTTTTAACTTTTTAAAAAAACTTTTTTCTTTCCTGCCCTAATTAGATTGAATGTCTGTTTAGGATTTAATGAAAATAATAATTAAATTCTTTTTATCAATAATTATTTGCTTTTTGGTCTTAAAAAAATTTCTTTTCACTTTTTGCATCTAGATTCTTCGGGAGTGTTTCGAACTTTTGAAAATCGCTATCGAAGTTTTTAGGGTTTTTTTGAAATCGTTTGTTTTTTTCGTTAATCTACATTTTACAATATGTGCGTGTCTCTGATTCAACTATCGGCCTTTGGTAAGAAGAATAATCGTCAAGGAGAGTACCAGGTACCAATTATATTTTCCTAATAATTAATTTATCAATTAGTATTATTTCTTAAGGTTCTATTCACTAAGTGATAGCAAATAGAGAACTGAAATTCTCCCCCCCACCCAAATTTTGCTATTTTTATCTAGAGGGTTTGAAATTTGGTACAAACATGTATCATAAAATTATCTACGGAAAAAAAATATTTATAAATCTCGAGTATCCAAACTCATACCATAAATATGGAAATTAATTTAATTTATTAATAAATAATATTCTGAAGTATATTAAAGTGTAGGAGTAAAATAAAAGAAAATATGTTTTTGTTATTTATCTCTCGATGAATCCATAGAAACTGCATAAACTTTTAAATGTATGAAAATTAAAAAAAATATATTTTATACAGTTATATAATTTGATACTTTTGATTTAAAACAACAAGGAAAAAAGAAATGTTTTCCTATATTTTAAAAATAATTTTAATTTGTTTTGTTTTTGTTTCCATATTTATGGCACTGGCAGTTATTGATAACAACGTTAGCTTTCAATGACCTGATATTCCCATTTATATTATGTATATACTTTTATACCCTCCTCTCAATTTAGAATTTAATAATTTCATTCGCGCAACATAGAAAATTATTAGCGATGAAAATTTTACTTTAGCACAAATTTCAAATTTTCCATTCTCTCTAAATTTGAATTAGTCAAAATGTTTACTAAATTTTGAATTAGTTAATGACTTTTTGCTTTTGAATCAGTAAATTTTACTAATAAATTAGTACAAATGACTATTTATTTTTGATTTGGTAAATGAATAAAAAAAAGTAAATAAATAATAATAAATAATAGTTATAGAATTTAGTCAATTTTACTTATAAAATAAGTACAAATGACTATTTATTTTTTATTTAGTAAATAAATAAATAAAAAAGTAAATAAATAATTAATAATAATAAAGTCCTTCAAAGAACTTTATTATTTAGGAAAAAAACTGAATTCTCGCAAAGAATTTTGTTAAAATTTTTAAAAATTCTAATTAAATTCTTTTGAAGAATTTCTTTGAATTTTCTTTAAACTAATGGAGTTTCTTTAATAATTTTAATTGAAAATTTTGAAAACACTTGAATTTTATAAAGAAGAATTTTATTAAACGAGAATAGAAAATAATTGAATCCTTGCGAAGAATTTTACTATTTATAAAAATAGTTGAATTGATTCGAAGAATTTATTAAAATTTTAGGACATAATTGAAATTTATGAAAATATTTAAAAATATTTAAATTCATCCGAAGAATTCAATTAAAATTGTTTTGAAAATAATTTAATTCCTTCAAAGGATTTTACTATTTATAAAAATAATTCAATTATTGCGAAGAATTTTACTATTTATAAAAATAATTGAATTTTTTCGAAGGATTTATTAAAATTTTAAGAAATAATTAAATTATTATGAAGAATTTTACAGAAATATTCGAAAATAATGAAATTATTTCGAGAAATTCAATTAAAGTTGTTTCGAAAATAATGGAATTTCTTTAAAGAATTTTATCACAAGAATTTTATTATTTCTTGAAAATAATAAAATTCTTTCGTGTTGTTTTATTTAAATTTGATAAAAAATAATTTAATTCTTGCAAAGAATTTTAGTATTTATGAAAATAGTTGAATTGTTTCGAAGAATTTATTAAAATTTCAGGAAATAATTGAAATTTATGGAAATATTTAAAAATATTTGAATATACATCCGAGGAATTCAATTAAAATTGTTTTGAAAATAACTGAATTCCTGCAAAGAATTTTACTATTTATAAAATTAATTGAATTATTGCGAAGAATTTTACTATTTATAAAAATAATTGAATTTTTTCGAAGGATTTATTAAAATTTTAGAAAAAAACTGAATTGTTTCGAAATGTGTTAAAAATTCAAAAAAATTTTTGCAAATTCAAATTTAGAGAGTTCTATAAAAAAAATTTCCTTTCAAAGAAAACTATTTGTAGAAAAAAAATTAATTTGTCGTATTTTCATAAATCTTTATAAGTTTAAATTTTCAGAACAAAAATTAAATTTCCTTTTTAATGAATAGAAATTTTTTTCCCATACAATTTGAGGGCATAAAAATAATTTTATTCACAAGTTAAAATTTATTTCTGAAAATGTAAATTTTACGATTAAAAGTTAAAATGGTAAATAATTCTTTTAAAAGAGGAACAATTGTCGTTTTTTGTTTCATAAAGAAAATAAATACGTCATATGAATGTAAACTTTGACCATTTGCTCATCTTTGCGCAATACACTACTAACGATTTATTTAAATTGTTTTTTTTGCTTTTTTGCTTTCGGGGAAAAAAGCTTATTCACACGTGAAATTTCAAGGTTATTGAAATTTTATTTGATAAAAAAAAAAGAAGGCATTGTAAAATATCCGGAAACTTATATTTATGAAGATTATTATCTCGATTGAGTGAGACGGATGTAAAATTGTGTGTTATTAAATTTTTTTCCAAGTCGATGAAGAAAAAAAGGATATTTTAATTCGAATACTTTTTTTGTTATTATAATATATTTAAATTTTTTTAACTCCCGGTATTTGTTGAGAAAAAAAAATAATAAAATACGTTTTTTTTTTGTTTTAGTTTCTATTAGAGGTGAAAATTTTAAATTATGAGTAAAATTACGCTCTAAATTTGAATTAGTAAAATTTTTTATTAATTTGAATGACTTTGTTTTTGAATTAGTAAATTTTACTAATAAACTATTAGAAATTACTATTTATTAGTCGGATTTTCTAATAAATTATAGTAAAAATTAAATTTGACCAATAAACAGTAATTTTTACTAAATTATTAGTAAATCCGACTGATAAATATTAAATAGTAATTTGTACTAATTTACAAGTAAAATTTACTAATTCAAAAGAAAAAAGTTCGTCACTAATTAAAATTATTAAACATTTTTATTAATTCTTTAGAGAGTAGTTGTAAACAGTAATAAAAATAACACTTTTTTTTGGTATAATTATTTTTAATCGTACAAAAGTCTCTTAACTAATATTGAAATCTGCTTTATGAACATCAGTTTTCAAAACAATATTCTACAATAACGAAACGTGTTGCAAAAGTGTATCTTTAATAAAGAATTTAGAAAGTGAAATTGCACAACAAATCTTTGCACAACAAAGTATTTTGAAAGGTCTAAGTGAATCCGTTAAAATTAATGGAATTATTCAAGAAGGCAAGTTGAAGTTATAAAGCATGTTATTTGAAATCAATCTGTAGAGGAAATGCAACAACTCGAAACATGAAGCAAAAAAAAAAAAAAAATTTACCAAAGTAATAATAAAATGTTTCAAAAAAATAAATATTTTTTTCAAACTTTTCCGCGAATTTAAAAATAAAATTTTTTTCCCGATAAACATATATATTTAAAATAAGGAAAATTATTTTCTTGTTTTTAGTCAGAATAGTAAAAATACTTCTTGATAAATAAATTACATTCGTTAAGGTTTTAAGGAAAAGTTGTTAAATAAATATTTCGTGGAATTTAATTTTGTTTTAATTCTAAATAAAGTATATTTTTAAATAAAGTATGTTTTTAAATAAAGTATGTTTTTAAATAAAGTATTTTTGAATACTCAAATATATTTGAGAATGAATTTAAAATTTTTGCCAATCGAAAAAGAAATATTTTTTTATTAGTTATATATTGTTTGAAACATTTGAATGAAATTGTATATTCTAATTTTAGTTCTGAATTTATGAATCATAGATTAATTCAAATGATACGAAATACTCTTGAATAAACTGTATTAGCATATAATTTAAATTTCATCAATTAACTAACTTCTGTTTTGATAACCTTAGGAAATTATTTTGAACCTTGATGAAATCAGAGTGCAATTCATTTTATTTCATTCTAAACTAAACGAAGTTAATAATTTTTCTCACATTCAAAATACAAACGGTAATTTTTTTTTTTTTTCTATCGACTGATGGCAATATTTTTTTCTTACAATCGAGTTACTTTTCTTTCAAAGCAAAATTTAAATTTGTTTTTAAAACTGGATTTTTTTTTTTTTTTTTGTGGTTTTGTATCGACCATTTTTTCTCTCACAATCGAGATAATTTTCTTTGGAGGTAAAAATTTGAAATTTTCATTTTTTGATTTTTTTATTGAGAAAAAAATTTCTTTACTTAAAAAATAAAAAAAAAATTGATAAAAAAAAGTTTTTTAAAAAAAACTTTTTGTAATGAAAGAAAAGATTTTGGATTTAATGAAAAGGACGAAACTGAGATTAAAAAAAAATGTCTTTATTTATAATGTGTAGAATTTCGAAACTTCTCACCGCAACAAGCTTGTTGAAAGAATTAGATAACCGTTAAAAAGTAGCATCATTAGTGTCGCTACAAATCGACAAGGTCGAGGTTTTGCTCGGTCGCAGTAAGTAATTAAAGTGGATTCCACGTCAATGGATTCGGGCCACTTACGTCATTTAATATCATGAAACGACTTCTGTATACACGTTTAACAACCCGGGGGGGAGAAAGGTTTTTTTTTTTTTTTTTTATTAAAATTTGACATAAAAAAAAACGAAATCGAAAAATTATTGCACTTTTTTTGAACTTGTTTGAAATTTTTAATGATTTAACGACATTTCCGGTGATGCAAAAAACTTGTTTCTTTTTTTGTTGCAATAACAAAAAAAGAAATCTATGCACTAGACAGTGAAATATAAGATCGTAAATTACAAGTCGAAAGGCATAGAGAAATAGAGAGAAACCCCAAAGGTGTTGCACTGCTGTAGCCTATGACTATATACAACTCAACAGGAAATGATCCGACCTTGTCGAGGTGAACCCTTACAGGCTTCGTGCGCTCAGATCTTGGCAAAAAAAACATTGTGTTTTACTCATTTATTGCTCCCGGTAATTTAGAGTGAAAAGTCTGGTGAAAAAAGGAGCATTAGAAATATACTTTCTACGACTTTTATGATTTCCTTTCGGTAAAAGTAATTTTA